AGCACCCAGGCCCTGAGTTCAAGCCCCACAACTGACAAAAAAAAGAAAAGAAAATTCAGAGATGCTCCTGGTGAGCTTCAGTGATCATGCTCTTCCATCAAAACTCACTAATTAAACAATTTAAGCTGAATTTTCCTATATGATGGTAGTTACTGTATTCCTCTTAAGTTATTCAAGCCCTCATCTTTTTTTTTTTTTGGTTGGTCATGGGGCTTGAACTCTGGGCCTGGGCACTGTCCCTCAGCTCTTCAGCCCAAGGCAAGCGCTCTACCATTTGAGCCACAGCACCACTTCCAGCTTTTTCTGCTTATGTGGTTTTAAAGACTCAAACCCAGGGCCTCATGCATGCAAAGCAAGCACTCTACCACTGAGCCACCTTCCCAGCCCAACACAAGATTTTTTTTTTTTTTTTTGGTTGGGCTTAGGACTTGAACTCTGGGCCTGGGCGCTGTCCCTCAGCTCTTCAGCTCAAAGTGAGCGCTCTATCACTTGAGCCACAGCGCCACATTCGGTTTTCTGGTGGTTCATTGGAGATAAGAGTCTCACGAACTTTCCTTCCCGGGCTGGCTTTGAACTGTGATCCTCAGATCTCAGCCTCCTGAGTAGCTAGGATGACAGGTGTGAGCCACCAGTGCCTGGCATGTCTACGTGATTTTAGAGGCTCTTTCTCTCTCTCTCTCTCTCTCTCTTAACATGCACTTGTTTTGTTTGGAGTGAACTAACATTGAGTATGGAGTAGTTTGAGGAGGTCATTTTCTGACAGGACAATGACATTGTTTCCCCAGATCCTTTACTCTGTTTTCCAGTATCCTATCTCTCCATTGAAAATGTGGGTTCCTTCTACCCCTTTTCCCATTGTTTTCTATCCACATAACCAAAATGTACCCAACATTGGCCGTTGTCATCATTTCTTCTATAACCAAAACTAATCCTTATAGAATTCATTTACTGGCTGAATCTAAACTTAAAAAAGACATAATATTTTCACCATTATAACTGTGTCAACACTGCTCATGATCCTACAACTGGAAGGGTTTTTATTTATTTTTTACTGTTTGCCTTCAGCAAGTCACCAAGACTTGACTATTTTCCCATCAGTATATCTCACCCACAGGAAGGGAGGCGATGTAGTTATTTAAGACTTGTTTTCTAGAACCATCTAGTGTTTCGACAGCTTCAGGCCAGCTATTCTCCGGGATAGGTGCCAAGAAGTCTTCACTTCCTTTCACCGGGTGCTCGGTTTCATCCAGTTCCCCGGTAGCTCAGATCTTCAGACTTCATTCTTTGTTTTGCCCATAGATTCCAGTGTCTTTTTTGTTTTTAGTTATTAGGCTTGGACTCTGGGTCTGGGCGCTGTCCCTCAGCTCTTCAGCTCAAGGCCAGCGCTCTACCAGTTGAACCACAGCGCCACTTCTGGTTTTCTAGTAGTTTATTGGAGATAAGAGTCTCACTGACTTTCCTTGCCCGGGCTGGCTTTGAACCTCAGATCTCAGCCTCCTGAGTAACTAGGATGACAGGCGCCTGGCTTCCAGTGTCTTTAATTAACTTCTCAAAATGTATCTGACAAATCAACTTTCTGAATTCTCCCACATGGTAAAATGTGGTTGTTGTCTTCTCACATTTGATTGACAGTGTTATTGGGTATACAGAACATTCAGTTCATAACTAATCCCCCCCCCCCCCCCCCCGCCAGAAAGTTGACATGATAGCCCAGGAAGACACATACTGAAGATGATTGATATTTTTTCACGATATGTGCAGGAAATAAGCTCATCTTACTTTTTATGTAATTATCATTGGCGTGCAATACTTGAATCTGAATTCTGTCCAAACCTTTCTGTTGTGATTCAAATGGAACAGAGGGGGATCTTCTCAAACAATAGTTGTTATCATGGCAACTGGATAGGTAGGTTCTATTTCACCCATCTGACTCTTACCAGCAGAGAGACTTTGCTACAGGCTTTCCCTTTGAAACTGGAAGATGAGCTTATTTCCTGAGAAATTGGTATGGTACATTTTGAGCTCTTCACTTTAGCACTACAGTTCATTTGTCACTTGTGATTCTTTATTCTGTCATAAAATATGAAAAAAAAAACCAATTACACTGTTTACTAACAGAGTTACTCTAGAGAGAGTAGAAGAAACAGCTGAATAGAGCCAGCTTTTTCCTGACAGGTATCAAAAGAGATGGTAGAAGGAAGGGAAATTGATAAATGCGGTGGGGGAAAGCCCTCAGAACAGACAGTAGAAACCACTTTATTAGAAGTCAGTATGGGAGAAAAAGCTTTTGCCTTTACATTCTTCCAACCTTGTGTGCATTCACCATTGGAGTCAACATCTTAATAATCCAACAGAGAAGGACAGTTTAGCATCTAGCTTATTGAGTAGCAAATAGTTTACATGCATGTATGAAAGGAGGACAAACAAAACGTATTAAAATTGTTTTAAGAGTGGAGGGAAGACGGATATGGGTAGTGATAGGGTAAGACTGATAAGAGGGGGGCTGGGAAGGTGGCTCAGTGGTAGAGTGCTTGCCTTGCATGCATGAGGCCCTGGGTTCATTCCTCAGCACTATGTAAGCAGAAAAAACTGGAAGTGGCACTGTGGCTCATGTGGTAGAGCAGTCGCCTTGAGCTGAAGAGCTGAGGGACAACACCCAGGCCCAGAGTTCAAGCCCCACGACCAAAAACAAAAAAAAGACTGATAAGAGGATACACTGTGTGCATGTATAGAAATGTCTCAACAGCTGGGTGCCGGTGGCTCATGCCTATCATCTTAGCTACCAAGGAGGCTGAGATCTGAGGATCACAGTTCAAAGCCAGCCCGGGAAGGAAAGTCCATAAGACTCTTATCTCCAGTAAACCACCAGAAAACCTGAAGTGGAACTGTGGTTCAAGTGGTAGAGCACTTGCCTTGAGCTGAAGAGCTGAGGGACAGCGCCCAGAGTTCAAGCCCCGTGATCGAACAACAACAACAAAAAAATTCTCAAGATCACAAACTGCACAACTAATATATGCTAACAAATAAAATAAATCTTAAAAAACACAAATAGGAAGTCCTCCATCAATGTTCATTGAATAAATAAGAAAAAGCCCATGACTTGTGTTTTTTTCTTCTATATTATTGTTTAAAAGTCTTATCACTTATTAGCAGAAGAAAATAAGGCTTCATGATATGGCTACTTTATTAAAATGTCAACTAGACAGTGTAGCCAGATCTTGCTTATTTTGTTTCTCTTTCCCTTTAGATGACGTGTGTGTGTGTGTGTGTGTGTGTGTGTGTGTGTGTGTGTTGCAGAAGTTGTCAGCAACAGAAAACAACTCAGCACACTTGAATATCAGGCACAAGACCCAGAGTTCCATCCCTAGCAGTGTTTTAAAAAAAAGAAAGAAAGGGAAAGGAAACATCAGTTTCTTTTCAGACTTTTGTTTGCAATAGTTTTAGCTCAATGAGAAGTGTGTAAAAAGTTAGAGACATGGAGGGAAGTGCTGGGTGTTTAGCAGGTAGAAGCTGTGAGGCCCAATGGAGAGGAAGATTTCTGAGACTTGAGAGAAAAGGGCGTCTGACAGATGTCTAGAGGACTTTCTCATAGGTGCCATCTAAGATCTTTGGTCCAATCAGAAGAGGTAGATTGCCAGACTGAGGAATGAGATCTAATGGCCCATCAACCTAACGGTTGGGCATTCAGAGCAAGGCAAAATGGTTTAGAGTAAACTTGTGTGAGTTTCCTTGCAGTAAGCTACAACAGTACCATCTTTGAACAGCACTGCCTCAGATGATGACCCATCTGAGCATAAGATGAAAAAAATATATATTGCTCCTAGAACATGGAATTTTGATGTGATTTCTTTGTTAATCTAGTCCAGATCTTTCTCTCTGTCTCTGTCTCTCTGTCTTTCTGTCTCTGTGTCTGCCTCTCTCTCTCTCTCTCTCTCTCGGTATGCTAGGAAATCAAGATTTAAGATAGGAAAGAACTGATTCTAAGTTTTGACCCCAAAACCTGAGCAGAATTGAGGTGACAGATTGTCATCACTCAATCAGCTTTTTCTCCTGCTTCAACATTTATGGAGTTTAGATAGAATTCGGGGTTGAGCTCAGAGACAGAGTAATTGCCCAGTTTGTACAAGGCCCTGGGTTTGATTCCTAGAAACACACACACACACACACGTTTGTTAAAAAAAAAATGATCATTTCATCATAGCCAGAAACAGTTCTTATCAATATAAGATCTCATACTTTTTCAATAAAAAAGTAATATAAACTGTATTAAAAATCCAGTTCTACCAGGCGCCAGTGGCTCACGTCTCTAATCCTAGCTACTCAGGAGGCTGAGATCTGAGGATCACGGTTCAAAGCCAGCCCAGGCAGGATAGCCCATGAGCCTCTTATCTCCAATGAACCACCAGAAAACCAGAAGTGGTGCTGTGGCTCAAGTGGTAGAACGCTCGTCTTGAGCTGAAGAGCTGAGGGACAGTGCCCAGGTGCCCAGAGCTCAAGCCCATGACCTACAAACAAACAAAATCCAGTTCTAATCCTGGAGACAAAAAATAAAAACCCACAACCCCAAATTGTGGCCATATGAATTTTCTAGTTACTTCCCAGTATTGAAATTGTGGGGAAATGACCTGAGCTGGGCCAGTGAATATGACCTGGCTATTACTATTTCTCAGAACTAAGACCTCTCCTGGAAGTATGTCAGATATAAGTGTATAGATGTGCAGGTGACAGACACACCTACAGAAGTCTCCTAGCTATCAAACACTAGGTCGAAATTGCTTCACAGGGGCTGGGAAGGTGGCTCAGTGGTAGAGTGCTTGCCTTGCATGCATGAGGCCCTGGGTTCGATTCCTCAGCACCACATAAGCAGAAAAAGCCGGAAGTGGTGCTGTGGCTCAAGTGGTAGAACACTTGCCTTGAGCTGAAGAGCTGAGGGACAGTGCCCAGGCCCAGAGTTCAAGCCCAACTGACCAAAAAAAAGGAAAGTAATTGCTTCACAGAGATGTGTATGACTATGGTATTAAACTACTAAATAGCTAAAAGGAAGGTTTATTTATAGTTTCTTATTGGGGGCTTTCTCTTTCAAGACCACCTGCGTAATGCTACTTCTATTCTAACCTTCCCTGTTACCCAGTCTTATCTAACCTAGGTCCTTATCTCACTTTCTAACCTTTTGCTTTTTTATTTTTCTCTCCAGACAAAAGACAGTGGCATTTTGGCTTCTTGTTTCTCTCCGGACTTCCTGGCTACTTGAAAAGGGTGTGCTCCTGCCCAGTGACCAGAAGACCTAGCTCAATACCCAGTGGTGAGAAGACCTAGCTCAGTACCCTGTGATGCTCAGGGTGAGAAGACCTAGCTAAGTACTCTGGGAGTCCAGCAGCTGCCCCTGATACCTGTGAGCTCACACCATGCTCCAAATAGATAGGTTCACAAGAAAGGATGTGTGGTCAAGCGATGCTCACATAACAAAAAGCCTGTCCTTCAGAAACTCTGCATCACTTAAGACATGAGGTATCACCAGAGTTGGCCCTGCTTGTCTGCTCTTGTCCGGCTGTAGTTTAGATGTTCCGATAGACATCTCTCTGCCAGCAGGGCCCGTGACGGATGAGAAGGAACAGTAGCACCACGAGGACACCAGACACCAGGCAAAAGGCAATAGCGAGGATCACCCTTAGAACTGTGGAAAGACAGAGGAAGGCATTCGTGTAAAAATCTGTGCATTAAGAAAATCTGAAGAAGCCAGGCACCAACGGCTCATGCCTGTCATCCTAGCTGCTCAGGAAGCTGAGATCTGAGGATCACAGTTCTAAGCCAGCCTGGGCAAGGAAAGTCCTATGAGACTCATCTTCCATAAACCACTCGGAAAACCAGAAGTGGTTTATTATGGCTCAAGTGGTAGAGCGCTGGCCTTGAGCTGAAATGCTCAGGGACAGCACCCAGGCCCAGAGTTCAAGCCCCATGACCGACAAAAAAAAAAAAAAATTCCCATGGTCCTCTCACATTACTAACTTTATGATGCTGCCTTTTTTTTTTTTTAATGAGTCTCACTGTATAGCTCAGGTTGACTTCAAACTACAGATCCTCCTGCCTTAGCCTTCTGAGTAAATGTTTTGCATTTCTTCCCCTGTAACTAAATTACTGATTATTCTTGTTCACCAGGTCCAAGTAAAATTCTGAGCAATCCACTGCAATCAACTGAATTGAAAAGAAATGTAATCTTTCCATTTACTGAGCCTTCTTTTCAGGTAAATACGGTGTAGGAAGGACATGTTGAGCGTGTGTGGGCTATGGAAAGCATTTTTCAGGCTGATCATGTGCTATTGTTAATCTATACCTTTAATGATACATGAACCTCCCCCACCTTCCCTCCTTGGTAGCAGTGGGGTTTTGAACTCAGTTTATTCTAGGCCTTGTAGGATGCCAGGCAGGTTTCAATCACTAGAGTTGTATCCGCAGCCTCTATACATATCCCTATGATATGTATAACTTCAGTCTTGAGAAAATATGGGGTAGTTTTAAAGACCAGATACAAAATTACTATCACGAGCCGGGCACTGGTGGCTGACGCCTGTCATCCTAGCTTCTCAAGAGGCTGAGATCTGAGGATCACAGTTCAAAGCCAGCCTGGGTAGGAAAGTAAGACTCTTATCTCCAATAAACCACTAGAAAACCGGATGTGGTGATGTGGCTGAAGCAGTACAGTGCTTGCCTTGAGCTGAAGAGTGCAGGTCAGCACCCAAGCCCAGAGTTCAAGCCCCATGACCGACAAAAACAAAACAAAATCACTATCACACCAGAACATTTTGTCTCCTCTACACACACCCTCATCCACTACAGTGAGCACAGAAAAGTGACCATTAGTTCTCTTATCACTGTAAAAAAGAAAGATCCAGGCGCCAGTGGCTCATGCCTGTCTCAGGAGTCTGAGATCTGAGGATCATGGTTCAAAGCTAGCCTGGGCAGTAAAGTCAGTGAGACTCTTTATCTCCAATGAACCACCAGAAAACCAGAAGTGGCACTGTGGCTCCAGTGGTAGAGTGCTCACCTTGAGCTGAAGAGCTAAGGGACAGCACCCAAGCCCAGAGTTCAAGCTCCAGAACAGAGAGAGAGAGAGAGAGGAGGTAGAGTGAGAACATGTTTCTATTGGTTTAGGAAATGAAGAGAAAACCTCTCTGATCCCAGTACCTCTCCCAAGTACTTCAGGCACATAGATGAAAAGTCACTGATTTTTGCCTTGTAGTTGGAAAGAAACAGGCAGAGAGATTAGATAATCTGGTTGGGGGGCAGGGTGTTATGCAGATAATATATCTGGAGGCTTTGGACAGTCTCCGTATTCAAACACCATCTATCACTAATGACTTGCAAGCTCCAATCTCTGGCCTTAATCTCTCTCCAGATGGAGGCTCCTCCTATCCAGTGTATCTCTGGCAGACAGGACCTACCCCCCCACCCCCTTTCCTTTATCTATAGTATCTTTGCTTTCTGTGGTTCATTTACTCATGTTGGCCTACCGTTTGAAAACATTACATGGAAAATTCTACAAATAATGCATATGTTTTAAATGATGCACAGTTCTGCGCATCCCTCTCCATCTCCCCTCGGACATATAAGTGTAATACTGCTAGCATTCACATAGCATTTGTTGCAGTATGTTCTGTTTTTTTATTATCATAATTTATAAATTAAACCTATTCAAAGCCGGGCGCCAGTGGCTCACGCCTGTCATCCTTGCTACTCAGGAGGCTGAGATCTGAGGATCACGGTTCAAAGCCAGCCCAGGCAGGAAAGTCCGGGAGACTCTGATCTCCAATAAAACCACTCAGAAAACCAGAAGTGGCCCTGTGGCTCAAGTGGTAGAGGGCTCGCCTTGCGCAAAAAAGAAGCTCAGGGACAGCGCCCAGGCCCTGAGTTCAAGCCCCAGGACTGACAAAAAAAAAAGTTAATAATCATCAAACTTTTAGAGACTTTCTCTCCTCTCTCTCTCTCTCTCTCTCTCTCTCTCTCTCTCTCTCTCTCTCTCTCTCCTTTCCCCCTCTCCCTAGTCCCGGGCTTGAACTCAGGGCCTGGGCGTTGTCCCTGAGCTTCTTTTGCTCAAGGCTAGCACTCTACCTCTTGAGCCACAGCACCACATCTGGCTTTTTCTGTGTATGTGGTACTGAGGAATCAAACCCAGGCGCTTCATGCATGCTAGGCAAGCACTCACCCACTGAGCCACCTTCCCAGCCTGAGCCTTTCTTTCTTTCCCATCCCATATCTGATCTGTCAGAATAGCTTCTTGGTTCTATACTAAAAATCCAATCCGTAAATCACCTACTTCTCCCCGTGTTGGATCACTGTAGTTTGCCAGGACCACTACAACGGCCTCTCCTAATTTGTTCTCTAGCTTCCACTTGGCCTTTGCTTCACACTCTGTTTTAAAGGCAGCAGCGGAATCACCTCAAGTCAGCCGTGCCACTACAGTAGCGAAAGCCAAGTAGGCAGTGGGTGATGGTGTCCATCCTATGAGGCTTCAAAACCATCTGTTCCCCCCCCCCATCACTCTCTCTCCTATCATTCTCTCCTTACACTCCCTGGCCACACCGTCATTCTTACTGGTTTTCAAACAAGCCACACACACTTCCTAAGTACTCTGGCAACAGCTGTTAGCATTGCCTGAATGTTCTTCCCGCAGGTCTCTTCTGTACTGGGTCATAGCCTTTATCATCTTTGTGTAAATCTTGTCTTCCCCGTGACTATTCAAAACTGTATCCATGGGCTGGGAAGGTGGCTCAGTGGTAGAGTGCTTGCCTTGCATGCCTGAGGCCCTGGGTTCGATTCCTCAGCACCACATAAGCAAAGAGAAAAAAGCTGGAAGTGGCGCTGTGGCTCAAGTGGTAGAGCACTCGCTTTGAGCTGAAGAGCTGAGGGACAGTGCCCAGGCCCAGAGTTCAGGCCCTATGACCAGACCCAAAAAAAAAAAAAAAAAAACTGTACCCATATACCCTTCTTTATTATATCCCTCTGACAATTTGACAATTGTGACCTTTCATCTTCAGAGAATTTTTATTACATTTATTTATTTATTTATTTAGTTGGTCATGGGGCTTGAACTCTGGGCCTGGGCGCTGTCCCTCAGCTCTTCAGCTCAAGGTGAGCACTCGACCACATGAGTCACAGCATCACTTCTGGTTTTCTGGTGGTTTATTGGAGATAAGAGTCTCATACACTTTCCTGCGTGGGCTGGCTTTGAACCACGATCCTCAGATCTCAGCCTCCTGAGTAGCTAGGATGACAGGTGTGAGCCACTGGCACCCGGCTTTCGTTTTTTTTTCAAATTATCTTCCCACTCTTGTAATTGAATATAAGCTTCAAGGATGCTATGAATTGTGTGTGTGTGTGTGTGTGTGTGTGTGTGTTGTTGTCATTTGTGGTACTTAGGACATAGTAGAAGCTAATAAATATGTGTAGAAAAATTAGCAATCTGGAACTCCTAGGTTGCCAACTTACTCCAGAGTTTTTTCTATGATGCCAGATGCTTCTTTGTGTCACAAGAAGGCAAATAGTAATTCAGTTAGAGCCCGGAGGATGGTATCATTGGTCTTGCATATGTCATTAGGAGGTTAAATAGGGTTGAAGAAGGAGCTGTGGGAGAGTCATGCGACTGATACTGAAATGGAGGTGTATCACACAGGCCAGTTGGAACATGGGAAAAGGTACATTCAGGGGATTTAGGCCGAGTTGTTTTCTAGTTTCCATGGGGGTGGGGTGGGTAATAAGTGGATGTAGTGAGCTACTATTATACATGGAGGTGTCACAGCCCATTCTTTTACAAAACAGAACAAAACAAAAAATCTCTGGAAAAGAGAAGATGGTAGAGATGTGTTAGGCTTAGTAGGGAGTGATGGAAATATCTTTGATAAGATACAGAGCGCAGGGGGCTGGGAAGGTGGCTCAGTGGTAGAGCACATGCCTTGCATGCCAGAGGCCCTGGGTTCGATTCCTCAGCACCACATAAGCAAAAAGAAAAAAGCCGGAAGTGGCGCTGTGACTCAAGTGGTAGAGCGCTAGCCTTGAGCTGAAGAGCTGAGGGACAGCGCCCAGTCTCAGAGTTCAGGCCCCATGACCGGACCAAAAAAAAAAAAAAAAAGATACAGAGGGCACCAGGCAGGGGCTCACGCCTGTCATCTAGCTACTCAGGAGGCTGAGATCTGAGGATAGAGGTTTGAAGCCAGCCCAGGCAGGAAAGTCCGTGAGACTCTTATCTCCAATAAACCACAAGAAAACTGGAAGTGGCACTGTGGCTCAAGTGGTAGAGCGCTCGGCTTGAGCTGAAGAGCTGAGGGACAGTGCCCAGGCCCAGAGTTCAAGCCCCAGGGCCGACCAAAAAAAAAAAAGAATTCTCTACTTAGATGTGGCAGTAAGGGTTGTAGATTTAGACGGCCAAGGCCTGGACATTTCGCTCATGCTGAGCATGGATTGAGGAGAGCAAGCGCAGGATATGAAACAGGATGAAGGGGTGTTAGAAGGTTTCTTTCCAAGAGAAGCTGGCTACAGAGTCTGAGAACACAAGAAAGTTCAGGGGCTGGGAAGGTGGCTCAGTGGTAGAGCACTTGCCTCCCATGCATGAGGCCCTGGGGTCGAGTCCTCAGCACCACATAAGCAGAAAAAAAAGCCAGAAGTGGTGCTGTGGCGCAAGTG